CCGGCAGTGCCGGCAGCACCGCCGGGCGCTCTTCGAGGAGGAGCGCGCCAAAGCGCAGGTGGGGACGACGGGGGGTGAGCGGGGCGAGTCCCGGCAGCTTGGGCACGGCACGACGTCTGCCTCTGCCGTCCCCTCGCCTGCTGTGGGGACGTGCTGTGCTGCCGTGCACCGAGCTGTGCCTGGCCTCGGCTGAACAGGGAGGTGACAGGAGTCCAGGCAGGGAGGTTCCACCAGCACCCGGCTGCTCCCCGAGAAACCAGGTGCTGCCTGGAGCAGCAGAGAGCTGGGTACATCCGGCAGCACCAGCTGAACAGTGCCACATAGGATCGTGGAATCGTTTAGGCTGGAAAAGACCTTTAAGATCCATGAGTCCAACTGTTAACCATGTTTGAAAGTCTTGTTTTGTGTCTACTTACATTATTTTCTTCAACAGACTCATAATCCGTAATGTTTGCCTAGTAAACTAAAAATTAGTAAAACGTTGAAAGCATTTTATGCTGAACTTGTCTTTGGAAAAGTTAACTGACACAGCTTTGAGCTGTCATGTGCCATGTTGCTATAACAATTCTGCCTGAAAAATGCTTTGAAGGGCAGGATCATAAAATCATCTATTGAGTCCAACCATTCACCCAGTGCTGCTAGGTCCCCACTAACCCATGTCCCTCAGCACCACATCTCCACAGCTTGGAAACCCCTCCAGGGATGGGGATTCCACCACTGCCCTGGGCAGCCTGGGACAGGCCTAGAGAACCTTTTTGAGGAAGAGATTGTTCCTCATATGCAAACTAAACCTCCCCTGGTGTAACTTAAGGCTGTTCCCTCTTATCCTATCATTCATTACTTGGGAGAAGAGCCTGACCCCCACCTGGCTCCAGCCTCCTGTCAGGGAGCTGTGGAGAGCCAGAAGGTCTCTCCTGAGCCTCCTTTGCTCCAGGTTCAGCACCCCCAGCTCCTTCAGCTGCTTCTCACCACACTTGGTGACTCTTCCCCAGCATCGTTGCCCTTCTCTGCCCACACTTCAGCCCCTCAATGTCCTTCTTGGAGTGAGAGGCCCAAAACTGGCCCCAGGATTTGAGGTGCAGCCTCCCCAGTGCTGAGTCCAGAGGGACAATCCCTGCCCTAGTCCTGCTGGCCACATTAATGCTGATTATGTCTGTGATTTCTCGATCTAGAGGAAACACCTGAAAAAAGCTGAAGGACAGCACAGGGTTTGACTTTTCAGTGCCCCTGGACGCAGCCTCTCCCATTCCCAAGCCGCCTCCTTCCCTGCAAGCCTTGTCCTGCAGCCCTGAGAGGGCTCCCAGCAGCCAGGCGAGCGGTCATGTGCCTCCCTTTGCAGACCCTTTTGAAAGAGTCCCTGGAGAAAGCCCAGAAGGACTCGGAGAAGATCGAGCGGGCGATGCAGGAGCTGGAGGAGCAAACGCGCATCATCAAGGTAACGCCGCCTCCCTCTCCGTGCTGGGTGCGGGTGGGAGTGTGCTGGCTCTCATGGCTCTGCCCCATCCAGGACTCCTCCGAGGGGGTCATATCAGTGATCCTGAGGAAATTCACTGTCCTGAGGAAAGCTCTGGAGGATTCCCAGCAGCAGACGATGGCCAGGATTGAGCAAGAGCAGGTGGCGGCGCTGGGGCGTGTGGAGGAGGGCCGGAGCCTCCTGAAGGATCACCTGGATGTCCTTGGCCAGCACAGGGAGAGGGCTCAGCGCCTGCTGGCCTGCCCCGACCACAGGACCTTCCTCCAGGTACCATTCTGGCACAGTGTCCCTCCCTGTGCCCTTTCGCTGAGGGCAGAGACACGGTCGACCCCTTTCCCAAGGGGGACGCAGCCCCAGCCCAGCTCGGGGATGTGGTGGGGCTGTGGGGAAGAGCTGCTTTTGGGGGAGCCCTTGAAAAGTCAGGGGCTGGTGCTGGATCAGAGTGGATGGTGCTGCCCGCAGGGCCATGGGCGGGTGGCTTCTCCCACCCCCAAACCACTCAGCAAGGCTCTGCCACTGCCAGCAAAACACAAAGTCCTGTGCTGCAGCCCCTCTGCTCCCCACAGCCTCCCACTGTCCCTGCAACAGTCCCCTGACCCCATGGACTGGCTGCAGCTAACTGCAGATGTTTTGGGGATGCCCTGTCACCCACAGGGAGACGTGGTGTGTGTAGGTGGGATGTGGAACTGCTGATCCTCCCCAGGCCGGTGCCTGTGTGTGTGTGTCTGCAGGAGCTCCCCCTGATCCCAGCTCCAGAGAGCCCAGAGGTGCTGCTCCCTGTGAAGTTTGATGTGGCCAGCATAGTCAAGCCCATCGATGAGATCCTCACCAACATCTCCAGGCTCCTGCTGGAGGACCTGCCGGGCTCTGTGGCCCCCAAAGCCCCTGACCCCCCTGGCCAAGGTAACCCTTCTGCTCACGGGGGCACCCCAGAGGGCTCCGAGTCGTCCTGAACCACTGCCTGGCCCATGGCACACTGCTGGGGACACAGCTGCTGGGCACGGGGGTTGGGATGGGGACACACGTGTGCGGTTCGGCAGATGGGTATCAATGGGGTGGGATGAGCTGGGTGGCTTCCTTGCGGCCCCCTCTTGATGACAATGCTGACCTGTGGTGGCATGTCCCCACTCCCAGGCTTGGATATGATGGTCATCCTCCTCCTTCTCCCATCGGAGCCAGGAAGGAACAAGATTTTGGGTGGCATCACTCAGAATGTCTTTCCCCATCCTCCACAGGCCCGGTGCAGCCCCAGGAGCCGGCGGTGAAGGTGGTGGCCCCTCTCCCCGAGTGCCAGCTCCGAGCTGAGCTTCTTGGTGGCATGTCCCCACTCCCAGGCTTGGATATGATGGTCATCCTCCTCCTTCTCCCATCGGAGCCAGGAAGGAACAAGATTTTGGGTGGCATCACTCAGAATGTCTTTCCCCATCCTCCACAGGCCCGGTGCAGCCCCAGGAGCCGGCGGTGAAGGTGGTGGCCCCTCTCCCCGAGTGCCAGCTCCGAGCTGAGCTTCTGAAGGGTGAGGAGTGTGTGGGGGTCTGGAGGGACAGTGTCCTGCTGGGATCCTCAGCACTGGGCCTTCCCTGGGAGAAGGGTGGTCGTGGCTGTGGGGAGAGGGGCCCCTTCTCTGTCTTTCCCACTCTCCCTAAATGCAGCGAAAGGTTGGTGTAGGGCTGGGGTAAGTGGGCTGGGGGCCACTGTGTGGCTGGGAAAGGGCTTGCTGGGGGGATGAGCAGCACCAGGGAATGCTCTCCTCTGGAAACTGGGTCTGCCAGTGCCCGTCATTGGGTTGATCTGTGCCAGGCCTTGCCTTGTCTCCATCCTCGCCTTTTCACCTGCCGTGGGTGTCAGACCCAGGCAGGAGCAACGTGCCTGTTCCAAACAACCCCAGTTTAGACACGGTTCTCTCCCACAGACGGGCAGACTGGCAACGTTGGCAGCTGGCAAGTGAGCCCTTACAGGGCTGTGCCGTGGGCTGACCCCCAGCTCAGCACCAGTCCAGAGCCCTGCCTGCAGTCACTGCTCTCTGTCCAGGGATATGGCCCCAGCACTCCCAGCCACAGTCCTTTGTGTCACCTTCCCTCCCTGGGCCCATTCCACTCCAATGCCTTAGGGATTTCCTCAATGCTCCTTTTCCCATCTCCTCCCTGTTGGGAAAAGAGTCGGCTAATGATTAAGGCATGATGGTCATGTCATTCTTGCCAGGGAGGCAACTGATGCCCATGGGACCTGTAAGAATTCCTTCCATCAGGTCCCACAGAACATTCTCAGGGGTGTTAATAAGGACAAAAGATGTTCTGTGTGGGCAGGAGGCATAAGCCCTCCATAGCCAGCCGGGCTGGGTTGTTGCAGGAGGCAGGTGAGATGCTGGTGGTCGGTGACTGCCCGTGCTCACTTAATGCCTTGTTTTTTCCCATCTTCCCACCCATGCTCCTATTTTTTGCACATCTTTTCCAAAACGACCACGGAGCCGTCGCTGCTCGCTGGCCGTGCACGGGCTGTGCGAAGCCTTGTCTTGGTGCCTCGCCAGCTATTTCTGGTGTTCCCATTCCTTGTGGCAGGTGGGCGGGTATCGCTCCTTCCCCTCCAAACGTGCTGCGACTTCTTCCCTTCGATTTGGGGAGCGAGCTCTATGCGGTTTAAACAATATCACCGTGGCGGGGGGCTCACGCCAAGGGCGTAAAGGTCTGGTGAAGCATTTCAGCCCCACCCGTGCCATTGCTCTTCCCAGACCACCGCAACCTGACCTTCAATCCCGAGACTGCCAACAAGTACCTGGAGCTGTCCAAAGGCCGCCGGAGAGCGAAGCACGGAGCCGGCGCTGCCTGCGGGCGGCAGGAGCGGGGACCCTGCTTTGAGCCCTGGCAGGTGATGTGTGCGGAGGGCTACAGCCACGGCCACCACTACTGGGAGGTGGAGATCTCCAGCCACTCCGTCATCCTGGGGGTGACCTACCATGGTCTCCCATGGGAGCGGCAGCAGGGCCACAAGTTCAACATCGGGCTGGACAGGGGCTCGTGGGGGCTGCAGGTGCGGGAGGATTGTTACCTGGCCTGGCACAAGGGCCGGGCAGAGAAGATCCAGGATCAGCTGTATAGGAACCTGGGGGTCAGCCTGGACTACGGCAAGGGGCTCCTCTCCTTCTACGGCCTCGGGGAGAGGATGAGACTCATCCACTCCTTCCACAGCATCTTCACCGAGCCCCTCTACCCCGTCTTTTGGCTGTGCGAGGGGCGAGAGGTGACGCTGTGCCGGAGGGGCTGCGCCGGAGCCCCCGCCCCGCTCTGTTAGCTGGGGTGGTGAGCCCCAGCTGCTGCCACCACGGCACCAGGGGCACCCCGACGCCGAGGCAGGAGCGTGGGGTGCAGTGTTTTAGCGTGAGCTGGTGAGGACAGATGTGCCAATGAACTCACTCGGGTTTGTATGTGCAAATATCCCGCTGGTGAGAAGCTGGGGCAGGGGAAAGGGCTGCGGGGTAAGGGCTGTACCCTCACCGTGCGGATGAAGCCGCTGGTTGCTGTGGTGAGGGCACATGTGGGTGTCTGTCCCTGCAGATGGGGCAAGGGAAGGGAATAGGGAGGGTGAAAGAACTGAGTTTCTTCTCTTGTCATATCCCTGCCAAATGTCCCAAGCCTAGAAAGGATTTGGGCTGAAGGGGACCCTGCAGCAGGGTGCTGCAGGCATGGGATACTATAGAGTGGTGTGGAGGGAGCCCTGTGCTCCCCTAGCTCCACCTGCAGGCGGGTCCTGCTCTTCAAACCCCTCCTGGTCCTTTCTTGCCCCTCTCGAGTGTGACAGAACAACTTTTTGGGGTGCCAAGCTGCAGCTGCTTTCTGTATGAAGCTGCTTCCCCCAATAAAGCTTAGTTTTCCTACTCTTTTGACCTCAGTGATGGTGGGAGCTGGGTGCCCCTGCTTCCGCACCCATCCCTTCAGGGCCCCATCCTGCCCCTCCATCCAGCAGGGCCCAGACCCATGTAGCGACCGGCTGGCAGGAGAACTAGAAGGTGCTGTATTTACAGTAGTGCTGCGATAAGGAAACCAGCTTTCCTACAGCTCTGCCCCGAGGTTGATCTGGCACAGAAGTAAATCCAAAGCTTTGACTGAAGCTTTTCCAAGGGTGAGGCCACAGGTCCAGTATCTCCCCCAGCCCCATGGGGGTGCTGGTGAGGACTAACAAGGCTAAACCTGGGTGTGGGAACATTTCTGGATGGATTTAAGCTAAGCTACATCAGGCCACGCTGGGCTGTGGGCAGCGGAACTCTAAGAACTCTAAATACAGAAGAAGAAGACAACAAAGCGAGAGATAAGAAGGAAAAGGAATGCAGAGAACCGAGGTAAGGAGGAAGCAAAAGAAGAACAACAAAGACCATGATGACAGCTGGAGAACAAATTGCAAGAAGAGCTTAAGCGCATGGACAGTAGTTTGTAACCAATTAGCTCAGGGAGTGGGGCATGTGGACAGCTTTGTATACTGTATAAGCAGCTTTCTGAGAGCAACGAACATCTTAATTTATAACTCTCATAGAGTTGCTGAAGTCCATCTTCATTTATAACTCCCATGGGGTTGCCTGCTTTACTGCTTGTCTCGTCAAGTGGGGACCCTGGGGTGTTCAGGAAGCAAGAGGAGCTCGACTGTGGAGGTGAGAGGAGCCCAGCTAGAGCCGCGTGGTTGGGCCGGCACAGGGGCTTGGAGCACGGCCCGGAATTGTTCCAACGGAGAGGTGAGCAGCTAGGGCAGCATGGATCAGAGTTTAAGTCAAGAAGAGGTGGTGGTTGTAAGGATCCTGCTACATATGCTCTCTAAGAGAGGGGTGAAATATGAAGGCACTATAAAGAAATTGTTGGGATGGTGCCGGATACAGGGTTATGCTCCTGACCCTGAGTTAGCTTTTAAACCAGAGACTTGGACAGAGACTACGGACTTAGTTACTACATGGAAGGACTATGATTTAAAACTGATGCTGAAATGGCTTAAAGTATGAACTCCTTCTCTGGACTCGCCACAAAATCCAGCAGCCCCGAACCCTTCTTGCCCTTCCCTACTGTCCCTCCCTGTCCATCGGAGGATGCGAAGCAGGTAGGGGTTACTGGTGCCGCTGCAGTGCTGACGGCTGACACTTCGGACAGTAGAGGCAAGAGAGAGCTTTTTGATCCAGGACCCAGAGATCCCAAGAAGGACCCAGGTTTATAACCACTGAATGACAGGTTAGACTCGTGTATTCGGTAGCAAAAGCTCTGAAAAGAAGCATAATGGCCCTTTAGACGAAAACAGTCTAAAGAGACTTTTACTGTGAGACCGTAGCCAAGACCCTGATTTCAATAGTGCTAAAGTTTTTAAGCCCAAAACATGGAATAATTTGTGAGTTGTTTTATGAGACTGGTCCACCCAAAACCACAGGATGATCATTCCCTTTTTAAGTCCCTGGAAAATTGTCTTTGAAGTGCTGAAAAGCCATATTTCTTTAAGAACTGGTGAGCTTAAGGGCAATTCCTCCTTCACTAGTGTCTTAGAATCCTCCCTGACTTGGTCTGCTGCTTCTCTGATAAAGTCTCAGCAAACTCTTAAGGAGGAACTGGTTGATGCCATGAGTGGTATAGAATCTCAGCAAAGTCTTAAGGAAGAACAGGTTGGTGCCGTGGGGGGGACATGAGAAAGGACCCCTGGGAACCTGACCCATTTGGTCCAGAAGGAGAGCCTGATCTGCATCCCCCTCTGGATCCCCCCGACCGATGGGCTGCTGCTCACAAACAAGCGGCAGCCAACAGGGACGTCGAAATGTTGCAAGTGTTCCCTGTGATAATCAGACTGAGCCAGGACCCACAGTCAGAGAGACTGCTGTGTTCTCTTTGGAGAAGAGCTTCATCGCCAGCATGATTTTGACTGGAATGCAGCACACTGTCCGGCAGTCGGAATGGACAGGACTGTGTGCACAAGCTGTGAGGGCTTAGAGGACATGGATTCTCTGCAGCCAGGACTGTCTTCTCCAATGATGATTCCCCAGAACTGGAATGTTAGAGTGATGGACTTAAAGGACTGGGTGGGTTTGTTTGATTGGTTTTGCCTTTTTGTTTGTTTGTTTGTTTTCTGGGACATTCAACTTGACTGAACACTTTAAACAAGGTGGGTATATACTACTAGCAACTATCCCTAAATCCCACAAGAGCCCTGCAGTCACCAGTGCATTGTGCAGGAGGGAGGAAAGACGGCTCTCATCCTTGCCAGAAGCTGGGCAGCTGGTCACACCGACCAACAGCCCCTTCACCTTGGTGTCAGGATGGCACCCGGATCCCAACCCCATGCACTGGGGGTGACACAGGGTGCCGTGCCACCCCAGCACCCAGTCCTTGGTGTTGGGTAGGCAGGGCCAACCCTAGCACTGGCAATTATCCCCATGCACTGCCCCAGGGGCATCGCTCTCCTCCCGGCTCCCTGCACACCTCTCCCTGTGTCAGGGACTGGCTGTGGTCCTCACACTTGTTGGGAAACGGTGAACACCCACCAGCCCCACAAGGTCCCCTAAAACACATACACACACACTGACCCCCCCACCCTGTCCTCAGTCCAGCTCTGCTCACCCCACGG